GTCTATGATCGAGCGAGCAATGAGTGGACTATCAATTACTTTTTATGCCCCCCTTTCTTTCACCGGGTATCGACCGACGATGGTATGTCTCCCGGCGAAGACCATTCTAGGCGGAACTGCTTATGTATCGAATAAGATATTCAACGCAAGTAATTTTCTTATGGTCGCTTCTCAGGCGAACCACCCCCTTCTTCGCTAACCCCCTCGCTAACTCCCTCACTATACTTTGAGTTTTTGCTTCTATCGGTCGCAGGGTGTTCGGACGAGGGTGAAACATATTGCTTGCAACTGTCACCCGCGGTCTGCTCTTCTTCTTCGTCGCCGTCGTCGTCGCCCTCGATGTGGTCGATCACTGTATTTTTAACCGATAACACTTCGCACTCCTTTCTCGTGTTCTATCGTACTGTGACGTCATCTTGCATAGAATTAATGTATTTTTTTTCTAATGTCTATATCTTGGAAAATAAGAAATGTTTTCTTAACAAATTCAACTTTTAAGAATCTATCGTGAAATATATATGTATATCTAAATATAGGATGATACGATAAAATATCAAAATATAATATTTGCAAAAAGAGAGCGTAATGCATTTTTATTGGATGTATGTTTTTATTTTCAATAAAAGAAATATTTGTAAATATTATATAAAGAACATATTAAAATTACCAAGATTAATAAAGCATTTGTAACAGATTCTCTTTTAACATTCTTACCATACCATTCGATTTGTGGTTAAAATAAGATAAGCTAATAATAAGAGGAAATGACAAGTGTACACACGGTCGAGTACTTCCTATCTACGGAAACAACGTTTCTTTCAATGCAACAGTCTATATACAGAGCTTAAAATACTCTACCATGTGCTATTATAGTACCTCTGAATCGATTCTCTTATTATATACATATATAGACGAGAGATATTCATTTAGACGGCACAGATCGCTAAGATGAATCGTTGTCTTTTTATTACAGACGGTGTATCGGAGAATTGAGGCCACGAAAATCGAGACGAGGGAGCGAGGGGCACTTAGCCCTTTGGCGAGCTCGAAGGATGCAGCTCCCAGGCGGGAGCACGAGAATTCCGCCCGCGAGAATACCGACTTTCCTTCTGGTTATCATCAACGGGAACAACATCGCAACAATCACCGGGAATAAACGCATCGGTAGCAACAGCGGCGGTCCCGGTTGCAACAATAACCGTAGCAGAAGTAGTAAGAAGCACGACAGCAGCGGATACAAACCCGATAACGAATCGAATCTTCCGAAGAAAACCCGCCATCTCGAGACGAGGGCGAACGGCCGACATCAAGTCACCGAGCAGCAGCCTCAGCCGTTGGCGTCAGCTCTACGGCGGAAGGTGCGGGGCGAGGAATAGTGAAAAGAAAGCACAGAAAAAGCGAGGAACGACGGAAGAAGAAGAAGAGGAAGCGCGAGAGAAGGAGAAGAAGGAGAGGAGGAAGCAGGAGTTCGCCGGGAAAGAGAAGGGTGCCGGCGTCGTCGTCGTTGGCGGCGGCGGCGGAAAAAGCAGAGGAGGCGGCGGAAGAGGAGGAGGAGGCGGTGGCGGCGAAGACGAGGGAAAAGAAAGAGGAGGAGAAGAAGACCGAGAAGGAGACGGCAAAGGCAAAGGAAGTGGAGAGGCGGTGGTGGTCGGTGGCGGACAAGGTGGGGAGCATTAGAAGAAGGAACATATAGAGAAAAGGCAGCTGTAGTAGGGGTACCGGAGAGACTACACAGTGTGCAGAAGCCGAGGCAGCGCACTGAGCCACGAGGGGCTATTCGAGCGAGAAGGGGAGGGTGACAAGAAGCCCTGGCGGGGAGGGGACGCGGAGGCCTTCGGGGGGCCGACCAACCAGACGGCCGATGATGTCATCGGAGGAGGAGACCGAGTGTTTCGCCCTCTACGGAGCAACCACGGAAAGCAAGCAACAGCAACTCCTGAAGAAGCAGAAGCGCACCAGACAGCGCGTGGACGCCGGCGAGCCGCGCAACAGCTACTCGAGTATACCGAACTTTAGCTCCCGGCCATCCTTCCTCGGTGGTGGTCTATACGGCTCGATCTTCAGTGGTAGTGGACCACCGTCGCATCAACAATCGCCGCAACAGCAGCAACAGCCGCAGCAGCACCACCAGTCACAATCGCAACAACAACAACAACAACTCCAGCAACAGGCTGGAGCGGCTGGCAGCCAAAGTCATTTAGGTACAGCTACGACGGGTCCTACAACCCAGCAGCATTCCGCCCACGCGGCCTTCGGCTTCTTCGGGGCTCCGGGCTTCGGCCCCGCCAAGATGCTGAACGAGTTATTAGGAAGGCAGGTCAAACAAGCCAGTGACGCTGGCGGATCACCGCCAGAGGGCGGTCACGGGATGACCGGTGCCGGCATGGATCCCGCCTCGAATTTGCAACCGGGCGCCGTGGTTAATTGCGATGATCCTGCTACGGCCGACCTTACGCAGCACATGTTACGCGACATGCTTCTGCAGGGCCGCAAACTCTCCGCTCTCGGCGTGCAGGAGCAGCCGAACAATAACAACAGTATACATAATAACAACAATAATAATACTACCGCGGAATTACTTAAATCACAGCATCAGCAGAGTCCCCAACAGCATCAACAGCAAAATAGTGATAGTGCGCGCAGTGGAACAGTGCAGAGTGGCGGGGAGGAGAGTGGTGATGGTAATAACGTCGTGAATAGCGCGAATCACAGTGATCGTGATACCGTGATGCCGGGCGATGCTGAGGACAGCGCTGAGGATGCTGCTTCCGCGGCACGCGCGATGGAGGAGGCCTTTGCCGAAGCCGGTATGGAACCAGGGGCGAACTTGGATGGATCGGATTGCGAGCAGAGCCTACCTCCTAGCCCAACGGCACCAAGATCAGGCTCGGTCTCCGTTAAAGAAGAGATACAAGAGTCAATGAATATCAAACGTAGCCCCAGTCACTCTCCTTGTCCGATCGTGCCAAAAACTGAAACGAACTCTCCAACGACAGAGATTAAACGCGCTCGTGTGGAGAACATCGTCAGCACGATGCGCAGTAGTCCAGCGCTTCAGCCGGCAACGGTAAACGGTTGCAAGAAGCGCAAGCTCTATCAACCTCAGCAACAGACGGTGCATCACGTTCTTCAGCATAGTGTCAATGATACCATGATGGACGATGAAGATGAGAGCGAAGAGGAGGAGGATCCGGCGACGATCAGACAGAAACGGGAGGAGAAAGATAATTTGAAAATACAATTAAAAATGTTGCACGAGCAATTGGCGGAAATGCAACAAAAATACATGGAACTCTCTAGTAGAATGGAGCCAGATACAAGTGAGAGCGGTGACGCGCCACCCAGTCCTCAACCTCAACCACAACCACCACCAAGACCGCCACGACCTCATCCACCGCCGTACACTAACGGCCTCCCGACTCTCCCACCCGATCACCCCCACGCAGCAGCTGCTGCTATGTATCACATGGGGCATAAACTTTACTTTGAACAACAACATGCTGCTCTCGAGAGAATGAAACAACATCAAGAAGCGGCTGTGCGGCAGCAGCAGCAGCAACAGCAGCAGCAGCAGCAGCAGCAACAGCAGCAGCAGCAGCAGCAGCAACAGCAGCAGCAGCAACAGCAGCAGCAGCAGCAGCAGCAGCAGCAACAACATCAACGACAAAGTTCGCCACCGCCACCAAGTCAACCTCAGCAACAGAGTCAGAACAACACTGGACCTTCGACGCCGCAGACGCCGCAAATGCAATCAGCTAGTACGCCTATTCAACATAAAGACTTCCAGGAAAGGTTAAACGTCTTCAGGGGTGCCGCTGCAGCAGCCAGTTCGTCCGGTCCTCACATCACCGGTGCCGATTTGGAAGGCTTGGCGGATATCTTGAAGACGGAAATAACTTCTTCTTTAACCAATTTGATTGACAGCATAGTAGCAAGGTTCGTGCAACAGAGGAGGTTTCTCGGTAAGCAAACCGAGGCAGCGCAGGCTGCTGCCGAGCAGCTCAATAAGGACCTTCTTTTGGCGAGCCAAATGCTCGAAAGAAAATCGCCTAGGACGAAAGTAGTTGACAGAGGAGCTCCACAACCACCCGGTGGCCCAAACGGGCCACGGGGGCCCCTCAACAGTGGGCCCCCTCCTCCACAACCCACGGGGTTTTCACAAATCGGGTCCATAGGTGGTGTACCCCATGGCCCTCATACTGGCCCCACGGAAAACAATCTTAACCAAATGAATCAGCTGCCCTCGCACGCAAGGCCGAGCGTTGGAATGTTTCAGACTCCAAAACCGCCGACGATATACGCCATGGCATCTATGCAAGCGCAGCAACAACAACAACACCAACAGCAACATCAGCAACAACGCGAGCAGCAACAAAGGGAGCAACAACAACGCGACCAATACTGCAATATGAGAGGTGACGAGAGAGAAAACAGGGACTCGGAACAAAATGAAGCTCTGTCACTTGTCATGACGCCGAAGAAAAAACGTCATAAGGTAAGCATTACAACTTGTCAGATTTAATATATTGATATAAGTTAATATAAATTAATGTACTTAGAATTACGATAATATTAATATAAACTTATATATTTTTAATTTTATAATTTTAATATGTATAAAT